ATCTCCAGCCAGCGTTCAATGTTTCCGCTCTGGCACCTGTGGTTCCCTCCCTCTTTGACCAACGATGAGGCTCCCCCCCTTGGCATACGATACAACATCAGAACGGGGGCTTCCGTCCGCTTGCCATCCGCACCGCCGCCTGATGCGTGCGATCGTCCGAACGACAGGGGAGATGGAATTGGACATGGGCGTCCAAACAACGCTGCCAACAGCTGCCCTCCTCTGCTTCGCGTCTCATGCGATGACTGTGTGCAGTCATGCAAGCCTCTGCACCAGTCTCTCCACCAATTTGTGGAGGTCGAGAACCCTGGGACTCTGGCCGCGAGGCCACACCTATCGACCACACTCGCTCGCCCTTGTGGTACTTCCTCCTTTCAACCGCATGACCTGGCGCCTCCAGGCGATGAGTAGAGAAAGACGCCTTTCGAGCCACGGCTTGGCATGGCCATTGATTACATACATACTGTCAATACCAAAGCTCCGCATCGACGCTCCCTAGCGCTGAACACTGATCCTCGAGCCACAATGTGCTGACGGCAGATCGTGCAATCTTGTCTGCCTGCAGCTCCATCGATATCGTCTCGGAGGCCTACCGTCCAATCGTCAATCCCTGCTCATTCATCTTGGAACCTCCCATCGATATACTTTCCACGCGATTGGGCACCCCCTCCTCCTCATACCCTAGCAGCCATCCTATATGCGGAAGCCATCTCCTGGCCACGCCAAAACCCATGCAACCCGATCAAGCTATCTCCGCCGCGCCCTTTCCTCTGGGATCATACCATCCTGGCTCCCAAGTGCCTCCCAAGTTCCCTCATCTTAGGGGTCAGCTCCATGTCTCGCTCGATCCGAAGTCAGTTATGGGCACAGGAATGAACGTTTGCTCCAGCCGCCTTGCCATCTCATCAGAGTTGCAGTACCGAGTTAGGCGACATCGACCGATACACCCACCAACAGCCGGCAACACTCTGACCGCCGTTGGTCGCGCTGCGAGACATGTGGCATGCAATGAGAGGCTTCCCAGTCCAAGCTCTCCGTTGGTGATGTCGACTGCGTGGGATTGGGGTTTCCTAGTGACAACCACGTCGGCAGACCTCGGATAGCGTATGCGAAGAAATGGGGCGGCGAAAGACGGTCACAAGACTAGTCATTGAGCGAGTCGCGACAGGTGACGAATGGCGAACGCAACAAGGGCCATGATGGTTCTCACACCCCCCTCCCTCACAGAAGCCCTTTGAGCACTCATGCTCTTGGGACCAGATGATCATGGCTGAAGAGGGCACACCGATTCCTGAGAAGCCTACAGCCCTGAAGCACGGTTTATACGGTAACGCATACACCAAAGGGACTTACCAGCCCAAGGCGTTGGAATGACACTGTATCCATAGGGGAAGTCGCTTATTGGCCGGAACTCTTCACCGGCATGTGAAGCCATCATGACACAGAATGGTCTGAGGTGCCATTACGCTAACGCCGCCCTCCTTGCCTGCCTCCACCCTATGTGCCTAAAAGGTGGCAGCCTATCAACATGCCGTCCACACGACGTGGTGAAGCTCGCGTACGCATGCTTATCTCGAGGAACGGATCTGTTCAGCCTAAAGGAGAGCTTTTGCCCGTCAGCGATTTCCTGAGATCTGGCCAGCAGTGGGCCAGCGACGTGTTCACCGATGCGATCATCTGATGATCGGGGATACGCGAGATCGGTTTGCCCCCGAAGCACCATGATTCGCCCCAAGTGCACCAAGTCATGATTGGCGTAGAAGTACTCGCCCATCCTCGCCGTTCTCCCTGGCACATCTTCATCAAGCCAACATTTGCAATTCCCAAGTTGCGCTCGCGTCCAGTGTTGGAAAGGGTGCGAAAGGGGGGGTCGGAGAACATCAGCCCCGTTGCAGTTCGATATTGGATCATCTATGGGATCAGAGCTCGCATAGTCACAAAGCATGTCTCAGCAGCCCCAGCTGCACCACGGCAAGCGACCGTCTTTTGCCCGACAAGCGTGAGCGTAATCTAAGCAGCCTTCGAGACTCTTTAGACAAGGTTTCTGGAAGTGGACAAGAGGTGGATCGGCCAGCGTTCCAAGGGGCCTTTGACGAAACATTGGCAAGGACACCCTGGCTTTCGTATCCGGCCATGTGGTCAGCCTGGTGGTGGCAGGCCGATCGGCGGCTGCCCACATCGAATCTCGCTCACCAGATGCCAAGACGCGGTTCGCCGGCTGAAGTTCAGTGGGCAGTACCCGCTTGAGTCCCACGGTGTGTGCAAACTCGTTGCTGTCCTGTCGACCCCATACATCGTGGATATGACGTACCAAACTAGGTGTAACCTTCTCGAGCGTTGCGAGAAACACGGGGTAACGGTTGTAGGATCGCCCACGCGCCCTGCTCTGGGAAACGTGGAAAGTCGAATCAGAACGGTCTATTTCCTACCGCTACCACATGGAGCACGCGAGCGCAGCGTCCTGCTCGCGCTAGATTACAGCTGACAGTCCGAGGCGGGCAGACAAAAGCTTTAGAGCCAGTGTCATCCTAGATGGGGCACATGGCGCCTTGGAATGCGGTGGGGACTTTTGGCATTCTGTCGAAACGGCAGTT